GTCTATTTTCATTCTTCTACAGGTTGACATCCAGTTATGCCGGCACCATTTGTTGAAGATGCTTTCTTTCTTCCATTGTATACTTTTGGCTCCTTTATCAAAAATGAGGTGTTCATAGGTTTGTGGGTTAAAATCCAGGTCTTCTATACAATTATATTGGTCGACTTCTCTGTTTTTATGCCAGTACCACACTGTTTTCATCACTGTAGCTCTGTAATAGAGTTTGAAGTCAGGGATGGTAATGCCTCCAGACAATCCATTATTGTATAGGATTGTTTTGGCTATCCTGGGTTTTTTGTTTCTCCATATAATGTTGATTATTGTCCTCTCAAGATCCGTGAAGAATTTTGATGGGACCTTGATGGGGATTGCATTGAATCTATAAATTGCCTTTGGTAGAATTGCCATTTTTACTATGTTGATCCTCCCAATTCAAGAACAAGGGAGGTCCTTCCATTTTCTGGTATTCTCCTCAATTTCTTTCTTCAACGCCTTAAAGTTCTTGTCAAATAGATCTTTCACTTCCTTGGTTAGAGTTACCCCAAGATATTTTATGCTGTTTATGGCTATCGTGAATGGTGAAGCTTCTCTGATTTCCCTCTCTGCTTCCATATCCTTTGTGTATAAAAGGGCGACTGATTTTTTGGAGTTGACCTTGTATCCTGCCACATTACTAAAGGTGTTTATCTGCTGTAAAAGTTCTTTGGTGGAGTTTTGGGGGTCGCTTAAGTACACTATCATATCATCTGCAAATAACGAAAGTTTAACTTCTTCCTTTCCAATTTGAATCCCCTTGATCCCCTTATGTTGTCTTATTGCTATTGCTAGAACTTCAAGCACTATATTGAAGAGGTATGGCGAGAGTGGACAGCCTTGTCATGTTCCTGAGTTTAGTGGGATGGCTTTAAGTTTCTCTCCATTTAATTTGATGTTAGCTGTCGGCTTGCTGTAAATAGCTTTTATTATACTTAGATATGACCCTTGTATCCCTAATCTCTCCAATACTTTTATCATAAAGGGATGTTGAATTTTGTCAAATGGTTTTTCAGCATCTAATGAAATGATCATATGGTTTTTTTTCTTTCAGTTTATTTATTTGATGGATTACATTGATAGATTTTCGTATGTTGAACCAGCCCTGGATCCCTGGGATGAAGCCTACTTGATCATAATGGATAATTTCTTGGATGTGTTCTTGGATTTGGTGTGCCTGTATTTTGTTGAGGATTTTTGCATCGTTGTTCATGAGTGAGATTGGTCTATAATTTTCTTTCTTGGTTGAGTCTTTGTGCGGTTTCGGTATCAGAGTAACTGTAGCTTCATAAAAGGAATTTGGCAATGCCTCTTCTGTTTCTATATTGTGGAATACATTAAGGAGTATAGGTATTAGGTCTTCTTGGAAGTTCTGGTAGAATTCCGCATTGAAACCATCTGGTCCTGGGCTTTTTTTGGTAGATAGGTTTTTGATAACCTCTTCTAATTCTTCGCGACTAACAGGTCTATTTAGATTGTTCACCTGGTCCTGGTTTAACTTTGGTATATGGTATTTATCTAAAAAAGTGCCCATTTCCTTTACATTTTCCAGTTTTGGGGCATATAGGCTTTTGTAGGAAGATCTAATGATTCTCTGAATTTCCACTGTGGTTATGTCTCCCTTTTCATTTCTGATCTTATTAATTTGCATATTCTCTCTCTGCCGTTTGATTAGTTTGGATAGGGGTTTGTCAATCTTGTTGATTTTTCCAGGAACCAGCTTTTTGTTTCATTGATTCTTTGGATTGTTTTCTGTGTTTCTATTTTGTTGATTTCAGCCCTCAGTTTGATTATTTCCAGTCTTCTACTCCTCCTAGGTGAGTCTGTTTCTTTTTTTTCTATAGCTTTCAGGTGGGCTGTTAAGTCTCCAATGTGAGCTTTCTCTGTTTTCTATAAGTGGGCACTTAGTGCTATGAACTTTCCTCTTAGGACTGCTTTCATAGTGTCCCATAAGTTTAAGTATGTTGTTTCTTTATTTTCATTGAATTCCAGGAAGACTTTAATTTCTTTCTTGATTTCTTCCTTTATCCAGGTATGGTTCAGTAGTTGACTGTTCAGTTTCCATGAATTTTTAGGCTTTCTGGGGGTAGCATTATTGTTGAATTCTAACTTTAATCCATGGTGATCTGATAAGACACAGGTGGTTACTAATATTTTTTTGTAACTGTGGATGTTTGCTTTGTTACCGACTATGTGGTCAATTTTCGAGAAGGTTCCATGAGCTGCAGAGAAGAAGGTATATTCTTTCCTATTTGGATGGAATGTTCTATAGATGTCTGTTAAGTCCATTTGATTCATTACCTCCATTAATTCTCTAATTTCTCTGTTAGGTTTCTGTCTGATTGACCTGTCCATTGGTGAGAGAGGAGTGTTGAAATCTTCTACTATTAGTGTGTGCGGTTTGATGGCTGCCTTGAGTTTTAGCAATGTTTCTTTTATGTACGTGGTTGCTTTTATATTAGGGGCATAGATATTCAGGATTGAGACTTCATCCTGATGAATTGTTCCTGTTATGAGTATAAAATGCCTCTCTCCATCTCTTCTGATTGATTTAAGTTTGAAGTCAACTTTGTTAGAGATTAGTATGGCCACACCTGCTTGTTTCTTAGGTCCATTTGCTTGATAAGCCCTTTCCCATCCCTTTACTCTAAGTGGGTGCCTGTCTTTGTGGTTGAGGTGTGTTTCTTGTAAAGAGAAGAATGTTGGATCCTGTTTTCGTATCCAATCTCTTAGCCTGTGCCTTTTAATAGGTGAGTTGAGTCCATTGACATTAAGTGATATTAATGACCAGTGGTTGTTAACTCCGGTCATGTTTTTAGTCATAGAGTTTGTGTGTTTCCCTTCTTTGATTTGTGTTGGTGTAGGGTCTCTAGATGTTTGAGTTATTGTGGTCATTGTTGGACTCCTTGGTTAGTGATTTTCCTTCAATTACTTTCTGTAAGGCTGGATTTGTGGTTGCGTATTGTTTAAATTTGTTTTTATCCTGGAAAATTTTGTTTTCTCCATTTATAGTGAACGAAAGCTTGGCTGGGTATAGTAATCTGGGTTTGCATCCATGGTCTCTCAGTTTCTGAAGTACATCTATCCAGGACCTTCTGACTTTCATGGTTTCCATGGAGAAGTCAGGTGTAAGTCTGATAGGTTTACCTTTATAAGTAATTTGGCCTTTTTCCTATGCAGCTCTTAATATTCTTTCTTTATTCTGTATGCTTTGTGTTTTGATAATTATGTGGCAAGGAGATTTTTTTTTTGATCAAGCCTATTCGGTGTTCTGTATGCTTCTTGAACCTTCATAGGTATATCTTTCTTTAGGTTGGGAAAGTTTTCTTCTATAATTTTATTAAATATATTTTCTGGACCATTGAGCTGCACTTCTTCTCCTTCTTCTACTCCTATTATTCTTAGGTTTGGTCTTTTTATTGTGTCCCATATTTCCTGAATGTTTTGTGATGAGAGTTTGTTGGACTTGCTGTTTTCTTTGATCAGTGTGTTTATTTTCTCTATGGTATCTTCAGAATCTGAGATTCTTTCCTCTAACTCTTGTATTCTGTTGGTTATGCTTGTTTCTGTAGACTCTGTTTGTTTACTTAAATTTTCCATGTCCAGCTGGCCCTCTGTTTGGGTTTTCTTCTTTGCCTCCATTTCAGTTTTCAAGTCTTGAACTGTTTCCATTATCTGTTTGATTGTTTTTCCTTGGTTTTCTAGGGTATCATTCACTGATTTATTCAATTCTTCACACTTTCTGTTATATTTCTCATCCATTTCTATAAGGACGTTTTTACATGCTGTTTAAGGGCATCAATCACTTTCATGAAGTCAATCTTTTCTACTTATTCTTGATTAAGGTGTTCATGTCCTCCCGTTGTGAGGTCGCTGGTTTCTGGTGGCTTCATGTTGCTTTTCAGCTTGTTGGGTGAATCTTGCCTTGGCGTCTGCCCATCTCTTCTTCCAAATGCTCCCTTATGAATCTTCTTTTACCGGATCAGGTCTCCTTGCCTACCCAAAGCTGGATCTCCCCAAAGTTGGCTCTCCTGGTGCTGAGAGTTTAGGTCTCTGTGCTTGTTGGGCAGCTCGCAAACAAAGCGCCTACCCTGCTTGGTGCAGGCAGGTGATAGAAACAAAGGGACTCCCGCCCGCTTGGGTGCCCCGAGGATTCGGCCCAGTGCCCAGACATGCTGGGCTGGGTGATGTTATGTGCAGAAAGAGGGCGGTTGGGCTTAAGTGGGGAGGGTTCTGGATGGAAGCTGGGTGGGCTAGGAAGAAAGAGGCGGTATGCAGGGAGTGGAGGCCCTGCAGTGAGCTCAAGAAGGATAGGGGGCCAAGGAACCTCTGAGCTCCCCTTCCCAGGCTGGCGCTGCTGGGCCAGAAACTCACCCCAATGCTGGGTCTCCTGGCGCCGAGAGATCAGGCCTCCGTGCTGGTGGGCAGGTCGCAAACAAAGCACCTACCCTGCTTGGTGCAGACAGACGATAGAAACAAAGGGACTCCCCGAAACTCTAATTTTTTCAGAACTAAATTTACCCAACACTTCTGGCTTCCCTCTTGTTACTGAAGTAGGAAACTGGGAAGGGGAAGAATTGTAAACAGAGCTTAATAAACATGTTTACAGCATTGAGAGGGAAATTCCACATAGGCAATGAGAAAATATTTTCTAGACAATCACAGATTCTTTCTAGTCCTGGTCAGCTGTTTTCCTGTGGGACAAAAATAAATGATGCATGAGAAGCTGAGAGAGCATACACAATCAGGATCTCAGATTTGCAAAGTCATCTTCCTGGCACACATCTGTGGGGATACTGGAATGTTCTGACTCTCAAGACAGCCAAAATTTTGGTTTCCAATTTTTTTTTTAATAAAATCCAAAGTCCAGAGTACATCATCAGTCGAAAGATTTCTGTAAAACATTTACCAAAACACTGTGAATGCTAGCATTTCAGAAAAGACCTGCTGCTTGTTATTTGCTCTAAACAGGCTCTGTGTGGATGCATATTTATAGGTAAGAATTTATCATAGAAGAATGGTGAGTCCTAGTCCTTTCTCTCATACAAGGTGGAAAAAATCAAACGTTGGTTTTAGAAAGGAAATATTGATCTTTTTGTGGGCGTCTATACAGTGAAAAAGGGGAGTTTATTCAACTTGAGAAGTGCATATACCTACTAATATGTACCATAGAGAAAATCTTTAATTTTTATTTTCAGATTATAATTTGAATACACGATTTCTTTTCCTCACTCCAAACTTCCTACATACCCCTCCCTGCTCTCTTTCAAATTCATGGCCTCTTTTTCAACTAGTGTTTGTTGAATGTAAATATTTATATACATATATATTTCTAAATATAACTAACCTGTTCTGTAAAACTGTAGCTGTACGTATATTTTAGGACTGATTTGACACTGAATAACGAAATGGTGTGCTCTTCCTTGGGAAAGGCAACCTCTTCATTTCCCAGATTTCCTCCCTGGACTGTAGTTCTTTGTGTAGTTTTGAGGGATTTGGACTTTCTCTATCCAGTTTGATGTGTTTGTTGATGTCAAATTTCTTGAAAGATCTATGGCAGGTTTCCATTCCAAACGGATAAGAACTACGGAGATATTGTGAAAGCTTGGCAGTACATTTGGTTAGCAAAATTTGCAAAGAAGTATTATGCTCCAGCAACTGTTATTCAGTTTCAATAGCACAGGGATGATGGACAATTCAAAATGTCTTTAATTTTTTTTATTGGATACTTACAAGGAGAATAAAATGTCTCAGACAAATCTAAGAAGGAAAATGATGAGAAATATGAAGAACATAAAGTGCTTTCACTGCTAATGGATATTATCTAAAAAAGAAAGCTAGCCTAAAAGATTTGATCTATATTGTTATGTGGTGAGCTATTTCTAAAATTTTGATTTTCATCTTAATTTATTTTTTGCATTCTTCCATATTCTGATGATTAATGTTTGTGAAATATACATAAACTCATACATAATTAATCAAATTCTGTGTACTACTTTATTTTTTGTTTCATTCTTTTAGTTTAATACTTCTCCACTTCTACATATATACAATAAATTTTATATTAATAGTTACTTAGAGTAGTGACAGACCATGAGCTTATAATTATACAATCTCATCATAGATTGGATATAATCACTGCCTTTTTGTTTCATTCCTTAAAGGTTTTATAAAATCTACTCTTTGAATTCATTTTCTTTGACTAGTTCTATGTATATTTTCAATAAAGTAAAAACTCTGTCTAGAGACCCTAAAGACCACAGTGGATTTTATCCACTAACAATGCTAAGATTTCCTATTCCTAAAGCCTCTTGAGACTTCAATCTGCTCCTTTAACTGGACATCACACTTGTGTTGTCATTGCACATTATTATTTGTTATTTGTGTGTGTGTTTCTGTATTTCTCACACATTCTCATGCTATCCAGTTTGCTGACATTATAACAAAGCCTATGATTTTATACCAAATTTACTTTGCCTTTTGTGTTTGTGACACTCTCAGAAAAATGTTTTTAGTGGAAAAAAATCAGTTGCCTATAGGAATATTAGACCCATACTATGTTGTTATGCTCCAGGACATTAGAATAAATGTAAGAAACCTTTTCACTACCTTTACCAAGAGATAAAATATTGCCACTGGCATCTACTAAAGATCTGTGGATTCTGTTGTATGATCAGCAGGGTACATGATTGTCTTCAAAAACAAAGAATGAATTATCTTGGCCAAAATACTATAGAGTCCAATTTGAATATCTCTACTCTAATGTTACCAAGAAATACAAATAAAAGGCATGTATTAACATTACCATGAATGAGGAAAAGAATACTATACAGAAACTACAGACAATATAAGAATGGTAAGAAAATAGCAAGACAAGTAATGCTAAATGTTGCTTGAAAAACATAGAAATTTACTGATATAGAAGCTTCTTAGAATATATATGTATATGAAAATAATTTAAATGGAGTCTCCAAAAAATATGGGAGACAGGGCCCCAACTAGATATCATAAATCATGAAATTAAACCTCTAGAGGCAGGATCACATAGAATCTTTTTGAGTTATTGGCCAAGGGGTCCCATGGAATTCCAAGACATCACAGGCTATAGTAAATTCATTGGTTACTCTCTATAATCTGATGGTAAGACCCTATTGCTAAGACCAACACTTACTTATAGCATTGAGAATAGAGGAGTTGAGCTTGTGCAAAATGAGAAGTTTCACACTACTGAATAGTGTCCATGTTACAGGAAGATACTTTGCACAGCACTGGAAGAGAAAGGTAATCATCAACATTTCCCAGCTACAAACCCTGTGACCTACCTGCAATACACGCCAGTACAATAATGGCACAAATGTTATAGGAATAACCAATCACTGTTAAAAATCACATTTAAGGCCCTCTCTGTCTAATGTAGCATGTGCCTGATAGTGCTACTATGGCCAAGAACCAAGGATAGATAGACCATGACCTTGGGGATAACACATTGTATTATTCTACTAAAGGAACATAGAAAAAACGATTCCTAATAACATACTGCTATACCCATAGATCAGTACTCTCTCAACTCATATCACAGAAAGTTCTTCTTCTAGTATATGGGAATTAGCCCAGTGATTCAAAACTAGACAATGTGATGAGGATGATTTTGGAGCCTTTTGTCATAAATAAGACGTTTTTATCATTTTTTATTGAGCTCTACATTTTTTTCTGCTCCCCTCCCTATCTCCTTCCTCCCCTTCAACCCTCTCAGTTTCGTCAAACCCCTCCTTTAAAGACTCAGGGATCTATGTGAAAGAGAAGGGTAAAAGATTATAATAGCCAGAGGGGATTGATAATTCCAAGGCAATGGTGTCTTTCAGACACAATGGGACTAATGCATTCATGAACTCACAGAGACTATGGCAACACACCAAGACTTACATAGATTCAGATCAGATGGGGTCCCACCACTGAGATAGAGAAATACAGTGAGCACAGGGTCCCACCTACAACCAAGGAGATAGCATTTGGAAAATGACAGCTTCTGTCAAAAGCAAAATCTGTTTTCTCAAATGAGGTGTCACTGGGTATACTAACTATACAAAACAAACTTTCTGGCATTTTCATGAAACTTTTGTTTTCTTTTGCTTTTTTTTTGGTACTTTTTATTGTTCTTTTGCCAATTTTTTATTATTTTTATTTTTGTTTCATGCTGTATTTTTCATTTTTGTTTCTGGGTTTATATTTGAGAGAAGAAGAGAGAGACAGAGACAGAGACAGAGAACATGAAATTGAGTGGGTAAGGAGGTGGGGAGGATCTGGAAGGAGTTGGAGTTGGGGAGGAGGAAAAAATTCAAATATATTTCATGAACATAATTACTAATAAAAAGAAGAAAAATGGGCATCAATTTAAATAGTCCTATGATGGAGGAAGGTCATTGGTTAAATAAAAAGAAACTGCTTGGTCCTCATTGGTTAGAAGATAGGTGGGAGGAGTAAACAGAAAAGAACGCTGGTAGGAAGAGGAAGTGAGCTCAGACTCCACAGCTCTCCTCTTGGGAGCAGATGCCTCAGAGAGATGCCATGCTCCCAGCTCCCAGGCAGACGGATGCAATGAAGCTCCAACCCAGGTTGGACATAGGCTAGAATCTTCCCGGTAAGCGCACCTAGGGCCGCTACACAGATGATTAGAAATGGGCTAAATTAATATGTGAGAATTAGCCTAGAAGAGGCTAGATAGAAATGGGCCAAGCAGTGATTAAAAGAATACAGTGTCCGTGTAATTATTTTGGGGCATAAGCTAGCCAAGCAGGCGACCGGGGTGCTGGGAACGCAGCCCCGTCGCTCCTATTTCTACAGTCATATAACCTCTTAATTATAGTATCACAATAGTTATTTAAAGTCTTCCAATGCAAAAAAAAATAGCACAGGGTCAGATGTTTTTAGCACAGAAATCTATCAGACTTTCAAAGATAAGCTAATGACAATAGTCATCAAATTATTTCACAATAGAAATGGATGAAATATTGCCAAATGCATTTTATGAGGGCACAATTACCATCATAAACCACACAAAAATTCAAAAAAGAACAAGAATTACCGACTAATTTCCTTTAGGAACATTGATGTAAAACTATTTTTTAGAATGCAAATCAAATCTAAGAACACATCCAAAAGATTATCCACCATGCCCAAGTAGGTTTCACCCCAGAGATGAATGGAAAGCTTTACATATGAAAATCAATCAATGTAATCCTACATATAAACAAACTGACATCAAAAAACCACACGATTATCTAATCTGATGTCCCCTACCAAAAAAGAGCTTTTGAAGAAAATCCAAAGCATCTTTATGATATAAATCTTGGCGAGAGTAGGGATATAAGAACTATACCTCAGGGGGCTGGAGAGATGGCTCAGCGGTTAAGAGCATTGCCTGCTCTTCCAAAGGTCCTGAGTTCAATTCCCAGCAACCACATGGTGACTCATAACCATCTGTAATGAGATCTGGTGCCCTCTTCTGGCCTGCAGACATACAGACAGAATATTGTATACATAATAAATAAATAAATATTAAAAAAAAAAAAAGAACTATACCTCAATATAATAATGGCAATTTACAGCAAACTTATTTAAACAAACTGAAATTAAATGGACAGCAACTCAAAACAAGTCCAGTAAACATTGAACAAGACAAGGTTGTCCACACTCCCCATAAAAATTCAATAGAGTACTAGAAGATCTAGCTAGTGCAATAGACAACTGAAGGAGATCAAGGGAAATACAAGTTATCCAGGAAAACATCCAAGAATCACGATTTACAGATATAAGAGACCACAAAATTTCTATGAGGGAACTCTAACAGCTGATACATACCTTCAGCAGTGAAGAAACTGGGTATGACCACAAAAAAGAAGATATGAGAAAAGGCTGGTGTAGATCCAGATCCTACTAGTTTAGTATGGCTATGATCTAAATGTTTGCATCTCTTCAAAGGTCCTATGTTGGAAGGTTTTGCCAATATGATGGGTTATAACAGGAGCTGGAGCCCTTTGGGTAGGTTCTGTGCCACCTTTTCAGATGTTATGAATGCCTTCATAGGTTAAGCTCCTGAGAGCAAACCTACTCCTTCTGTCCCAAGAAGGCACAGCTAGAGGGTGTATCTAACAGAAAACAGAGTTCTACAGGACAAGAAACATGCCAATGTCTTGATCACGGATTTCTCAGCCCTGTGAGAAATAAATTCCCGATGTTTATATGCCTGTGACTCCTTATTTTACAGGTAGTCTGGACACACTGTGTAAAGGTCTTCCCATTCCTGACTTGCTATTGTCGCTAATCTTTTCATCTAAGGTATCAGAAGAGATGTTCTACTTACAGGGTTCTCAGATGCTCCAGGTTCTGGAGAACTCCCTGAGGAAGCACCTGCCTGAGACCTTAAAGGTGAGAATAGAATGTTTTCATAGAAACTGAGGACCACACCGCGGTAAGGCAGAGGAGGGAAAGAGTCAAGACTCACTGAGCACTGGTACCATGACATTCCTCTCTCCTATGTTTATGCCACCAGAGCAGAAAGAAGTCTCAATAATGTCACCTGCATAACATTAAAAAATCAAAGTTCTGCTCCCCATTGTCTAAAACAAATGTCACTGTTTACTCCCAAAGGATAATCACAATTTGTGTGAGACCCAGTCACAGCATAAAAACTTGAAAGAATGTTAAAGATATACGTCAATAATAGTGTTTGCCTAACCTGTGCAAGGTTCTAGGTTTAATTGCCAGTAGAGAAAAATAATTTTCCTGATTCTTAAACGACAAATACTATTTAGTTGAAATCATATTGAATGATACTAAATAAAAGGATTCTCATCTTATTTAAATTTTGGCTCTAGCAGGGGAAGATGTTTTTTTGTGGCTATTAACAGGATTTTTTTTTATTGATTCCTATTGAACTCTACATTTTTCTCTGCTCCCCTCACTGACTCTCCCCTCCCCCCTTCATGGCACCCATGCTCCCAATTTACTCACGAGATCTTGTCTTTTTCTACTTCCCATGTAGATTAGATCTATGTAAGTCTCTCTTAGTGTCCTCATTGTTGTCTAAGTTCTCTGGGATTGTGGTTTGTAGTCTGGTTTTCTTTGCTTTATGTTTAAAAGGGACCTATTAGTGAGTACATATGATGATTGTCTATTTATGTCTGGGTTACCTCTCTCAAAAAAAATGTTTTCTAGCTCCATTCAATTTCTTGTAAAATTCAAGATGTCATGTTTTTCTGCTGTGTTAAGTACTCCATTGTGTAAATGTACCACATTTTCCATATCCATTCTTCAGTCGAAGGGCATTTAGGTTGTTCATTACACCAGGTAGTCCACGAATTTTCAATCAGAGTGCCTCAGCCTCCCTATTATCTGAGATAACAGACATGTATTACTAACCCTAACTAAATCTTAACTTAGATGAAAAACAGTGATCTACACATATCAACAGCCAGATAATGCAGATCTAAAAATAATATAGTATCAATAATAAAGCAGCAATCACAAAAGTGCTTCAAGGCATAGTAAGAAAAACACTTCCAATGAATGGAAACCATTTTTGAAATGGCTCATCGTCATAAAATTTGTCTGCACATGAAAAGAAATAAATCTGATATCCATGAAAAACTTTTATTAGATTCTACATCAAGAGAGTTAATGAGTTTATTAGTAAATTGCATCATTTTTATATTTTATCTCAATGTTTAAAAGATACTGTTTTTACAATAAGCAACTGGACACTAGGAAACATTTGAAAAACTCATCTATTACATCTTTCCAAAAGTTTCATATTTTCATTGTAATGATCTTTGTTCTAGTCAAATATGCTGCAGCTTCCTACTTCTTTGCAATATGATGACATTTCTGCTGGCTTGAAATATTTAGGTTTATGGGACTGTCTTCCACATGAATCAGGGAAACCCATTCAAGCTGAAGGCTCTGGTGGACAAGTGGCCTGATTTTAATACTGTTGTTATTCGACCTCGGGAGGAGGTAAGTTGCAATATAGAATAAATATGCCTGTATCTCCACATGTGTTGCATTCCTAGCATGTGTCTGGCTGGATGGTTGATGCTACTGCCTAATCCCATCATAAAATATAGAAGTGAATTGTACTAATTTAAATCAAACCCCTGCCTGAAGGATAATTCACAAAAGTCCACAAAAATTACAGAATGTTATAAAATGTTCAAGAAGGGAAATACACAAAGGTGTAGTAATAAGCCATGGAGAATGGTAGCTAAAGGTACAGATGGTACACTTTCATTTTTATCCACGCTTTTGTTTTACTTGGCAGCATAGTTCCTCCATCAGCAGTGGCTGATTAGAACTGTGAGCACACTTTATCACTTCATTATTTCTTATGTCTTATTTGTAGGAGTTAGAGGCAACTTATTGGAAGTATTATCAACATAAGATCATGTTGATACACAAAAAAATGGCTTGATCTTTTATTATAAACATCAAAACAACATTTCCCTAGGGCTGGAGAGATCACTCAGTGGTTAAGAGCACTTGCTGTTCTTGCAGAGAACTAGGGTTTGGATCCAGGCACCCATATGGTGGCTTCCAACTGTGAGGAATTCCAGTTATATGAAATCTGACACCCTCTTCTCATCTCAACAGGCAACACTCACATACATACATGCAAGCAAAATATTTATATCTGTACAATAAAAGAAGGAAGTCTTTAGAGAAAAGGGCATAACCTAGGCTAGGTTTGTATATTGTAACAAGTTAGTTCTTAGTTCCATTGTCAACTATTATCTTAGGATAAAACAGATTTCAATGAAAAAAATACAAAATAAAATAACCGGACTTAAAACAATCCAGCTATTTCCTAATCCATGATAAAATTTCATTGTAATATCAGCTTCCCTTTGAGATGCTGCTCTGCTTTCTATATCAGTTATCTACAGCAAAGACAATAAAAGAAGGTAGGAAAAAGAAAGGTTAGGGTGGTTGATGTTACAGGGAGAGAATTAGAGTTTATTCTCAATACCAAGTGGAAAAACATTTGCCAATGTGAGTGTTGAAGATGGCTTAAAAATTTAATAAGGCAGAACAAGAAAATCAGTAATTATATCTGCAGTATCTTTATACAGTATACAACATTTTAGTTAATATTTCATGAAAATTAGAGGAGTAAAAGCATTCAGATTATACAGTAGTAGAAATAATATTTCTGTGATATGTTCTTTCCTATTCAAGTAGTCCCATTTCGGATTTGCAAACTTGTTCCATGTATGTCTAAATATGTACATATATATGCATATATATGCTCATTTCCTTGCTTTATGAGGTTGTCATTTACTTAAAAATAATAAGCTTTTTTGAAGTACTATATAGAGTACTAGCTTTAGCATTGGGTCCCTATTTATAGGTGCATATTCTGATTCTGTTTTCAGTATAGACTTTAATATCAGAGTATTCATAGCCCAGAGCACGGAGTATTCTTTTTTTTTTAGCATATTTTTTATTGCGAAAAGAAGAAAAAAAAACATAAACAAAAAACAAGTTTCCACCTCCTCCCAGCCTCCCATTTCCCTTCCCCTCCTCCCACCCTTCTCCCCCTCCTCCCACCCTTCTCCCCCTCCTCCCAGCCTTCTCCCCCTCCCCCAACTCCTCTCTCCCTCCCTCTCCTGTCCACAGAGCAGTCCGGGTTCCCTGCCCTGTGTTAAGTCCTAGGTCCTCCCCCCTCCGTCCATATCCAGGAAGGTGAACATCCAAACTGGCTAGGCTCCCACAAAGCCATCACATTAAGTAGGAACAAAACCCCCTGCCACTGTCCTTGGTGTCTCATCAGCCCTCATTGTTCGCCATGTTCAGAGAGTCCGGTTTTATCCCATGCTTTTTCGGTCACAGTACAGCTGGCCATGGTGAGCTCCCAATAGATCAGCTCCACTGTCTCAGTGGGTGGATGCACGCCTCGGGGCCCCGAATTCTTTGCTCATGTTCTCCCTCCTTCTGCTCCTCCTTGGGACCTTGGGAGCTCAGTCCAGTGCTCCTGTGTGGGTCTCTGTCTCTATCTCTATCCATCACCAGATGAAGATTCTATGATGATATGCAAGATATTCGTCAATATTGCTCTAGGATAGGGTCATTTCAGGTTCCCAATCCTCAGCTGCCCAAGGAACTAACTGGGAACCTCATCTTGGGCACTAGGGAGCCCCTCTAGGGTCAAGTCTCTTGCCCACCCTAAAGTGGCTCCCTTAACTAAGAATTGTGGTTCCGTGCTCTCCTATCCACCTTTCCTTTATCCCAATACTCCTGTTTCCCCAGGTCCCCCCTCCTTCCCTTCTACCTTTTCTCTCCCCATCTCCCCTTACCCCCATCCCACCCCACCCCCAAGATCCCATTTTCTTCCCGGAAATTTGGTCTACTTCCCTTAGCCAAGAGGACAACTATATGTTTTTCCTTGGGTTCACCTTCTTACTTAGCTTCTTTAGGTTCACCTATTGTAGCCTCCGTGGTCCTTATTTATGGCTAGAAACCAATTATGAGTGAGTACATCCCATATTCATCTTTTTGGGTCTGGGACACCTCACTCAGGATAGTGTTTTATATTTCCATCCATTTGCATGCAAAATTCGAGAAGTCATTGTTTTTTACCGCAGCATAGTACTCTAGCGTGTATATATTCCATACTTTCTTCATCCATTCTTCCATTGAAGGACATCTAGGTTGTTTCCAGGTTCTGGCTATTACAAATAATACTGCTATGAACATAGTTGAACAAATGCTTTTGTCATTTGATAGAGCATCTCTTGGGTATATTCCCAAGAGTGGTATTGCTGGGTCCAGGGATAAGTTGATCCCGAATTTCCTGAGAAACCGAAACACTGACTTCCACAGTGGTTGCACAAGATTGCATTCCCACCAGCACTGGATGAGGGTACCCGTTCCTCCACAGCCTCTCCAGCAAAGGTTATCCTTGGTGTTTTTGACTTTAGCCATTCTGACAGGTGTAAGATGATATCTCAAAGTTGTTTTGATTTGCATTTCCCTGATTGCTAAGGAAGATGAGCACGACCTTAAGTGTCTTTTGGCCATTTGAACTTCTTCTGTTGAGAATTCTCTGTTCAGTTCAGTGCCCCATTTTTTAATTGGGTTAATTAGCATTTTAAAGTCTAGTTTCTTGAGTTCTCTATATATTTTGGAGATCAGACCTTTGTCTGTTGCGGGGTTGGTGAAGATCTTCTCCCAGTCAGTAGGTTGCCTTTGTGTCTTAGTGACCATGTCCTTTGCTTTACAGAAGCTTCTCAGTTTTAGTAGGTCCCATTTATTCAATGTTGCCCTTAATGTCTGTGCTTCTGGGGTTATACATAGGAAGCGATCTCCTGTGCCCAGCTCCTGTAGGGTACTTCCCACTTTCTCTTCTATCAGGTTCAGTGTGTTCGGGCTGATATTGAGGTCTTTAATCCATTTGGACTTGAGTTTTGTGCACGGTGAGAGATATGGGTCTATTTTCATTCTTCTACAGGTTGACATCCAGTTGTGCCAGCACCATTTGTTGAAGATGCTTTCTTTCTTCCATTGTATACTTTTAGCTCCTTTATCGAAAATAAGGTGTTCATAGGTTTGTGGGATAAAATCCGGGTCTTCTATACGATTCCATTGGTCGACTTTTCTGTTTTTATGCCAGTACCACACTGTTTTCATTACTGTAGCTCTGTAATAGAGTATGAAGTCAGGGATGATAATGCCTCCAGAAGCTCCTTTATTGTATAGGATTGTTTTGGCTATCCTGGGTTTTTTGTTTTTCCATATAAAGTTGATTATTGTCTTCTCCAGATCTGTGAAGAATTTTGATGGCATCTTGATGGGGATTGCATTGAATCTATAAATTGCCTTTGGTAGAATTGCCATTTTTACTATGTTGATCCTCCCAATCCAAGAGCAAGGGAGGTCCATCCATTTTTTGGTATCCTCTTCAATTTCTTTCTTCAATGCCTTAAAGTTCTTGTCAAATAGATCTTTCACTTCCTTGGTTAGATTTACCCCAAGATATTTTATGCTGTTTGTGGCTATCGTGAATGGTGAAGCTTCTCTGATTTCCCTCTCTGCTTCCATATCCTTTGTGTATAAGAGGGCGACTGATTTTTTGGAGTTGATCTTGTATCCTGCCACATTACTAAAGGTGTTTATCAGCTGTAAAAGTTCTTTGGTGGAGTTTTGGGGGTCGCTTAAGTACACTATCATATCATCTGCAAATAACGAAAGTTTAACTTCTTCCTTTCCAATTCGAATCCCCTTGATCCCATTATGTTGTCTTATTGCTATTGCTAGAACTTCAAGCACTATATTGAAGAGGTATGGCGAGAGTGGACAGCCTTGCCGTGTTCCTGAGTTAAGTGGGATGGCTTTGAGTTTCTCTCCATTTAATTTGATGTTAGCTGTCGGCTTGATGTATATAGCTTTTATTATATTTAGGTATGACCCTTGTATCCCTAATCTCTCCAAGACTTTTATCATAAAGGGATGTTGAATTTTGTCAAATGCTTTTTCAGCATCTAATGAAATGATCATATGGTTTTTTTCTTTCAGTTTATTTATATGCTGGATTACATTGATAGATTTTCGTATGTTGAACCAGCCCTGCATCTGAGGAATGAAGCCTACTTGATCATAATGGATAATTTTTCGGATGTGTTCTTGGATTCGATTTGCCAGTATTTTGTTGAGGATTTTTGCGTCGATATTCATGAGTGAGATTGGCCTGTAGTTCTCTTTCCTGGTTGAGTCTTTGAGTGGTTTTGGTATCAGAGTAATTGTGGCTTCATAAAAGGAATTTGGTAATGACCCTTCTGTTTCTATATTGTGGAATACATTAAGGAGTATAGGTATTAGGTCTTCTTGGAAGTTCTGGTAGAATTCTGCATTGAAACCATCTGGTCCTGGGCTTTTTTTGGTAGGGAGGTTTTTGATAACAGCTTCTAATTCTTTGCGACTGACAGGTCTGTTTAGATTGTTCACCTGGTCCTGGTTTAGTTTTGGTAAATGGTATTTATCTAAAAAAGCATCCATTTCTTTTACATTTTCCAGTTTTGTGTCATACAGGCTTTTGTAGTAAGATCTAATGACTCTCTGAATTTCCTATGTGTCTGTGGTTATGTCCCCCTTTTCATTTCTGATCTTATTAATTTGCGTGTTCTCTCTCTGTCGTTTGATTAGTTTGGATAGGGGTTTATCAATCTTGTTGATTTTCTCCAGGAACCAGCTTTTTGTTTCATTGATTCTTTGGATTGTTTTCTGTGTTTCTATTTTGTTGATTTCAGCCCTCAATTTGATTATTTCCAGTCTTCTACTCCTCCTAGGTGAGTCTGCTTCCTTTTTTTCTAGAGCTTTCAAGTGGGCTGTTAAGTCTCCAATATGTGCTTTCTCTGTTTTCTTTAGGTGGGCACTTAGTGCTATGAACTTTCCTCTCAGGACTGCTTTCATAGTGTCCCATAAGTTTGAGTATGTTGTTTCTTTATTTTCATTGAATTCAAGGAAGACTTTAATTTCTTTCTTTATTTCTTCCTTAATCCAGGTATGGTTCAGTAGTTGACTGTTCAGTTTCCATGAGTTTGTAGGCTTTCTGGGGGTAGCATTGATGTTGAATTCTAACTTTAATCCATGGTGATCTGATAAGACACAGGTGGTTACTAATATTTTTTTGTAACTTTGTAAGTTAGCTTTGCTTCCGAGTATGTGGTCAATTTTCGAGAAGGTTCCATGAGCTGCAGAGAAGAATGTATATTCTTTCCTCTTCAGGTGGAATAATCAATAGATGTCTGTTAAGTCCATTTGCTTCATTACCTCCATTAATTCTCTAATTTCTCTGTTAGGTTTCTGTCTGATTGACCTGTCCATTGGTGAGAGAGGAGTGTTGAAGTCTCCTACTATTAGTGTGTGCAGTTTGATGGCTGCCTTGAGTTTTAGTAATGTTTCTTTTACGTAAGTGGGTGCTTTTATATTAGGGGCATAGATATTCAGGATTGAGACTTCTTCCTGATGAATTGTTCCTGTTATGAGTATAAAATGTCCCTCTCCATCTCTTCTGATTGATTTAAGTTTGAAGTCAACTTTATTAGAAATTAGTATGGCCACACCTGCTTGTTTCTTAGGTCCATTTGCTTGATAAGCCTTTTCCCAGCCCTTTACTCTGAGTAGGTGCCTGTCTTTGTGGTTGAGGTGTGTTTCTTGTAAACAGCAGAATGTTGGATCCTGTTTTCGTATCCAATCTCTTAGCCTGTGCCTTTTTATAGGTGAGTTGAGCCCATTGATATTAAGTGATATTAATGACCAGTGGTTGTTAACTCCAGTCACTTTTTTAGTAGTAGGGTTTGTGTGTTTTCCTTCTTTGATTTGCGCTGATGAAGAGTCTCTAGATGTCTGAGTTATTGTGGTCATTGTTGGACTCCTTGGTTAGTGATTTTCCTTCTATTATTTTCTGTAAGGCTGGATTTGTGGCTACGTATTGTTTAAATTTGTTTTTATCCTGGAAAATTTTGTTTTCTCCATTTATAGTGAATGAAATTTTGGCTGGATATAGTAGTCTGGGCTTGTATCCGTGGTCTCTTAGTTTTTGGAGAACATCTATCCAGGACCTTCTGGCTTTCATGGTTTCCATAGAGAAGTCAGGTGTAAGTCTGATAGGTTTACCTTTATAAGTAACTTGGCCTTATTCCTTTGCGGTTCTTAATATTCTTTCTTTATTCTGTATATTTTGTGTTTTGATTATTATATGGTGAGGGGATGTTTTCTTTTGATCCAGCCTATTTGGTGTTCTGTATGCTTCTTGAACCTTCATAGGTACATCTGTCTTCAGGTTGGGAAAGTTTTCTTCTATAATTTTATTAAGTATATTTTCTGTACCGTTGAGCTGCACTTCTTCTCCTTATTCTACTCCAATTATTCTTAGGTTTCATCTTTTTATTGTGTCCCATATTTCCTGAATGTTTTGTGATGAGAGTTTGTTGGACTTGCTGTTTTCTTTGATCAGAGTGTTTATTTTCTCTATGTTATCCTCAGAATCTGAGATTCTTTCTTCTATCTCTTGTATTCTGCTGGTTATACTTGATTCTGTAGTCTCTATTCGTTTACCTAGATTTTCCATGTCCAGCCGGCCCTCTGTTTGTGTTTTCTTCTTTGCCTCCATTTCAGTTTTCAAGTCATGAACTGTTTCCTTTATCTGCTTGATTGTTTTTCCTTGGTTTCCTAGGGTATCATTCACTGGTTTACTCAATTCCTCGAACTTTCTATTATACTTCTCATCCTTTTCTATAAGGGCGTTTTTTATATGCTGTTTAAGGGTGTCAATCACTTTCATGAAGTCAGTTTTTTCTACTTCTTCTTGATTAAGGTGTTCATGTCCTCCTGTTGTGAGGTCACTGGCTTCTGGTGGTTTCGTGTTGTTTTTCAGATTGTTGGGAGAATTCCTGCATTGGCGTCTGCCCATCTCTTCCTCCCAATACTCCCCTTTGGATCTTCTTTTACAGGATCAGGTCTTCTTGCCCACTGATGTACCTTCCCAGTGATGTCACTCCCCAGAGATGTTTCTCCACAATGATGTTTCACTCGGTGCCCAAATCGATACTCCACGCTGCTTGGTTAGCTCGCGAACAAAGGGCCCACCCTGCTTGCTGCGGGCAGGCTATGGAAACAAAGGAGCTACCTGCCACCCCTTTGACCTTCCGGTTCGGATTCGGTCCCAGTGTCCTAGCAGGCTCGGCAGGGAGGCGCTATGCCCCAAAGGAGGGAGGGAGGGAGGGAGACAGGGGGTGTGGGTATCTGGATGTAAGCTGAATGGGATAGGAAGAGAGAGGCGGTTTGGGCAGTATAGCCCCTGTAGGATGCCAGGAAGTGTGGGCGGGCTGAGGTATGTTCCCAGCTGCCTGCCGCAGCACTCACTCACCACACGGAGTATTCTTTAAGCAAAATGCTTTTCTTTTAATTTGTTATTTTGATTCTTCTAAATGAATTTTATTGCACTCTATTTTTCCTTGAGTTTGAATAATGCTTTTCAGAGTGATTTTACTTTGAATTGTGTCAAGTCTTTTCTTCTTGTTTTTGCACTGTAAATAATTACAACATAAATCCACAGGAGCCCTTACTTTTAAAATTTTAATATCTCACAATGTAGCTGAATACTAAATACCAATATAACCTAACACTAACCCATCCATAAACACTTTGGTTTATTCTTTTTGAAAACAGGACATGGAAGATGACCTTGACCACTACACCAACACTTATCTAGTCTACTCTAAGGATCCCGAGAATTGTCAGAACTTCCTCAGCTCATCAGAAGTCATTAACTGGAAACAACATCTACAGATTCAAAGTAAGAGAGCCAGGGTATATGTGGCTGTTGTTATCTCCTGTGTACACATGGTGGAAGTCACTGTTCCTTTTGAACAACACCTTACATTCCACACACATTTTTGCAAGCTATAGACAATTAGCATGCTGTTATCTGTTTACAAGCTTAGCATCTACCACCTGCAAGGGGAACTCTCAAGAGCTGTGGGAGTAAAGTGTACAAAGGAAATTTTAATGTAGTTTCTTACTGCCTTAGGACTTAAGATTTCTTCTTTAGCATGCCCATATTTTACTAAAGAACATAAACATGGGGGCAATTTAACCTCCCATTCCATCTCTTATTATTATATTGTCACATTTTCAAAGGAATATTTTAGTAAATAAGACTATGCCTTCTAAAGAGGTATGGTCTAAGATTGAATCCTGACTGAACCAGTTGTTATCTCTGTGGGAAGGACTGAGTAATATTTGTTTTGGAGACCAAAGTTTTGTGAGAAAAAAAATGATTATAATACTATTCCAAACATAGACTTTTTTTTATTTCTTTTTTTTTTATTGAGAAAAGGAAAAAAAAAAGTATCCGCCTCCTCCCAACCTACCATTTCCCTCCCCTCCTCCCACCCTACTCCTCCTCCACCCAAACTCCTCTCCCCCTCCCTCTCCAGTCCAAAGAGCAGTCAGGGTTCCCTGCCTGTGGAAAGTCCTAGGTCTGCTCCGCTCCGTCCATGTCTAGGAAGGTGAACATCCAAACTGGCTAGGCTCCCACAAAGCCAGAACATGAAGTAGGATCAAAACCCCGTGCAATTGTCCTTGGCTTCTCATCAGTCCTCATTGTTCGCCATGTTCAAAGTGTCTAGTTTTATCCCATGCTTTTTCAGTCACAGTCAAGCTGGCCTTGGTGAGCTCCCAATAGATCAGCCCCATTGTCTCAGTGGGTGGGTGCACCCCTCGTGGTCCTGACTTCCTTGCTCACTTTCTCCCTCCTTCCACTCCTCATTGGGACCTTGGGGGCTTAGTCCAGTGCTCCAGTGTGGGTCTCTGTCTCTATCTCTATCCATCACCAGATGAAGGTTCTATGGTGATATGCAAGATATTCGTCAGTATTGCTATAGGATAGGGTCATTTCCAGTTCCCTATCCTCAGCTGCCCAAGGGACTATCTGGGGACATCTCCCTGGGCTCCTGGGAGCCAATCTATGGTCAAGTCTCTTGCCAACCCTAAGGTGGATCCTTCAACTAAGAATTGTGTTTCCGTGCTCCCCTGTCCAACCTCCCTTTATCCCAATTCTCCTGTTTCCTCAAGTTCCCCCCTCCTTCCCTTCTCACTTTTCTCTCCCCATCTCCCCTTACCTTCATCCCACCCCACCCCCAAGATCCCAATTTTCTCCACGGCTATTTTGTCTACTTCCCATAGCCAAAAGGATAATTATATGTTTTTCCTTGCGTTCACCTTCTTATTTAGCTTCTTTAGGTTCACGAATTGTAGTCTCCGTGACCCTTATTTATGGCTAGAAACCAATTATGAGTGAGTACATCCCATGTTCATCTTTATTGGGTCTGGGATACCTCACTCAGGATAGTGTTTTCTATTTCCATCCATTTGCATGCAAAATTCGAGAAGTCATTGTTTTTTACCGCAACTTAGTACTCTAATGTGTAGATATTCCATACTTTCTTCATCCATTCTTCCATTGAAGGACATCTAGGTTGTTTCAAGGTTCTGGCTATTACAAATAATACTGCTATGAACATAGATGAACAAATGCTTTTGTCATATGATCGGTCATCTCTTGGGTATATTCCCAGGAGTGGTATTGCTGGGTCCAGGGGTAGGTTGATCCCGAATTTCCTGAAAAACCGAAACACTGATTTCCACAGTGGTTGCACAAAATTGCATTCCCACCAGCAATGGATGAGGGTACCCGTTCCTCCGCATTTCTTTTCAGCAAAGGCTATCATTGGTGTTTTTAACTTTAGCCATTCTGTCAGGTGTAAGTTGATATCTCAAAGATGTTTTGATTTGCATTTCCCTGATTGCTAAGGAGGTTGAGCATGACCTTAAGTGTCTTTTGGACATTTGAACTTCCCCTGCTGAGAATTCTCTGTTCAGTTCAGTGCCCCATTTTTTAATTGGGTTAATTAGCATTTTAAAGTATAGTTTCTTGAGTTCTCTATATATTTTGGAGATCAGACCTTTGTCTATTGCGGGGTTGGTCACGTTCTTCTCCCACTCAGTAGGTTGCCTTTTTGTCTTAGTGACAGTGTCCTTTGCTTTACAGAAGCTTCTCAGTTTTAGTAGGTCCCATTTATTCAATGCTGCCCTTAATGTCTGTGCTTCTGCGGTTATACATAGGAAGCGATCTCCTGTGCCCATCTGATGTAGGATACTTCCCACTTTCTCTTCTATCAGGTTCAGTGTGTTCGGGCTGATATTGAGGTCTTTAATCCATTTGGACTTGAGTTTTGTGCATGGTGATAGATATGGGTCTATTTTCATTCTTCTACAGGTTGACATCCAGTTGTGCCAGCACCATTTGTTGAAAATGCTTTCTTTCTTCCATTGTATACTTTAAGCCCCTTTATCGAAAATGAGGTGTTCATAGGTTTGTGAGTTAAAATCCGGGTCTTCTATACGATTCCATTGGTCGACTTCTCTGTTTTTATGCCAGTACCACACTGTTTTCATTACTGTAGCTCTGTAATAGAGTTTGAAGTCAGGGATGGTAATGCCTCCAGAAGATCCTTTATTGTATAGGATTGTTTTGGCTATCCTGAGTTTTTTTGTTTTTTTTTATTTTTTTTATTTTTGTATTTTTTTATTGAGAAAAGGAGAAAAAAAAAACAAGTTTCCACCTGCTCCCAGCCTCCCATATCCCCCCTCCTCCCACCCTTCTCCCCCTCCTCCCACCTTTCTCTCCCTTCCCCCACTCCTCTCCCCCTCCCTCTCTAGTCCATAGAGCCACCCTACAGTGGCTCCCTTAACTAAGAATTGTGGTTCCGTGCTCCCCTATCCACCCTTCCTTTATCCCAATCCTTCTGTTTCCCCAAGTCCCCCCTCCTTCCCTTGTATCCTGAATTTTTTATTTTTCCATATAAAGTTGATTATTGTCCTCTGCAGATCTGTGAGGAATTTTGATGGGATCTTGATGGGGATTGCATTGAATCTATAAACTGCCTTTGGTAGAATTGCCATTTTTACTATGTTGATCCTCCCAATCCAAGAGCAAGGGAGGTCCATCCATTTTCTGGTATCCTCTTCATTTTCTTTCTTCAATGCCTTATAGTTCTTGTCAAATAGATCTTTCACTTCCTTGGTTACATTTACCCCAAGATATTTCATGCTGGCTATCGTGAAAGGTGAAGCTTCTCTGATTTCCCTCTGCTTCCATATCCTTTGTGTATAAGAGGGCGACTGATTTTTTGGAGTTGATCTTGTATCCTGCCACATTACTAAAGGTGTTTATCAGCTGTAAGAGTTCCTTGGTGGAGTTTTGGGGGTCGCTTATGTACACTATCATATCATCTGCAAATAACGAAAGTTTCACTTCTTCCTTTCCAATTCGAATCCCCTTGATCCCATTATGTTGTCTTATTGCTATTGCTAGAACTTCAAGCACTATATTGAAGAGGTATGGCGAGAGTGGACAGCCTTGTCGTGTTCCTGAGTTTAGTGGGATGGCTTTGTGTTTCTCTCCATTTAATTTGATGTTAGCTGTCGGCTTGCTGTAAATAGCTTTTATTATATTTAGGTATGACCCTTGTATCCCTAATCGCTCCAATACTTTTATCATAAAGGGATGTTGAATTTTGTCAAATGCTTTTTCAGCATCTAATGAAATGATCATATGATTTTTTTCTTTCAGTTTATTTATATGATGGATTACATTGATAGTTTTTCATATGTTGAACCAGCCCTGCATCTCTGGGATGTAGCCCACTTGATCATAATGGATAATTTTTCTAATGTGTTCTTGGTATTTGTTTGCCAGTATATTGTTGAGGATTTTTGCATCGATGTTCATGAGTGAGATTGACATGTAATTCTCTTTCCTGGTTGAGTCTTTGTGTGGTTTTGGTTTCAGAGTAACTGTAGCTTCATAAAAGGAATTTGGTAATAACCCTTCTGTTTCTATATTGTGGAATACATTAAGGAGTATAGGTATTAGTTCTTCTTGAAAGTTCTGGTAGAATTCTGCATTGAAACCATCTGGTCCTGGCTTTTTTTGGTAGGGAGGTTTTTGATAACAGCTTCTAATTCTTTGCGACTGACAGGTCTGTTTAGTTTGTTCACCTGGTCCTGGTTTAATTTTGGTATATGGTATTTATCTAAAAAAGTGTCCATTTCTTTTACATTTTCCAGTTTTGTGTCATACAGGCTTTTGTAGTAAGATCTAATGACTCTCTGAATTTCCTCTGTGTCTGTGGTTATGTCCCCCTTTTCATTTCTGATCTTATTAATTTGTGTATTCTCTCTCTGCCGTTTGATTAGTTTTGATAGGGGTTTATCAATCTTGTTGATATTCTCCAGGAACCAGCTTTTTGTTTCATGGATTCTTTGGATTGTTTTCTGTGTTTCTATTTTGTTGATTTCAGCCCTCAGTTTAATTATTTCCAGTCTTCTACTCCTCCTAGGTGAGTCTGCTTCTTTTTTTTTCTATAGCTTTCAGGTGGGCTGTTAAGTATCCAATATGTGCTTTCTCTGTTTTCTTTAAGTGGGCACTTACTGCTATGAACTTTCCTCTTAGCACTGCTTTCATAGTGTCCCATAAGTTTGAGTATGTTGTTTCTTTTTTTTTCATTGAATTCAAGGAAGACTAATTTCTTTCTTTATTTCTTCCTTAGTCCAGGTATGGTTCAGTAGTTGACTGTTCAGTTTCCATGAGTTTGTAGGCTTTCTGGGGGTAGCATTGTTGTTGAATTCTAACTTTAATCCATGGCGATCTGATAAGACACAGGTGGTTACTAATATTTTTTTGTAACTGTGTGAGTTAGCTTTGTTACTGAGTATGTGGTCAATTTTTGAAAAGGTTCTATGAGCTGCAGAGAAGAAGGTATATTCTTTCTTCTTTGGGTGGAATAATCTATAGATGTCTGTTAAGTCCATTTGCATCATTACCTCCATTATTTCTCTAATTTCTCTGTTAGGTTTCTGTCTGATTGACCTGTCCATTGGTGAGAGAGGAGTGTTGAAGTCTCCTACTATTAGTGTGTGCTGTTTGATGGCTGCCTTGAGTTTTATTAATGTTTCTTTTACGTACATGGGTGCTTTTATATTAGGGACATAGATATTCAGGATTGAGACTTCATCCTGATGAATTATTCCTGTTATGAGTATAAAATGTCCCCCTCCATCTCTTCTGATTGATTTACGTTTGAAGTCAACTTTGTTAGAAATTAATATGGCCACACCTGCTTGTTTCTTATCCATTTGCTTGATAAGCCTTTTCCCAGCCCTTTTCTCTGAGTAGGTGCCTGTCTTTGTGGTTGAGGTGTGTTTCTTGTAAACAGCAGAATGTTGGATCCTGTTTTCGTATCCAATCTCTTAGCCTGTGCCTTTTTATAGGTGAGTTGAGCCCATTGACATTAAGTGATATTAATGACCAGTGGTTGTTAACTCCGGTAACTTTTTTAGTAGTAGGGTTTGTGTGTTTCCCTTCTTTGAGTTGCGCTGGTGCAGGGTCTCTAGATGTCTGAGTTATTGTGGTCATTGTTGGACTCCTTGGTTAGTGATTTTCCTTCTATTATTTTCTGTAAGGCTGGATTTGTGGCTACGTATTGTTTAAATTTGTTTTTATCCTGGAAAATTTTGTTTTCTCCATTTATAGTGAACGAAAGCTTGGCTGGATATAGTAGTCTGGGCTTGCATCCATGGTCTCTTAGTTTTTGCAGTGCATCTATCCAGGACCTTCTGGCTTTCATGGTTTCCATAGAGAAGTCAGGTGTAAGTCTGATAGGTTTACCTTTATAAGTAACTTGGCCTTTTTCCTTTGCAGCTCTTAATATTCTTTCTTTATTCTGTATATATTGTGTTTTGATTATTATATGGCAAGGGGATGTTTTTTTTTTTTGATCCAGCCTATTTGGTGTTCTGTGTGCTTCTTGAACCTTCATAGGTACATCTTTCTTCAGGTTGGGAAAGTTTTCTTCTATAATTTTATTAAGTATATTTTCTAGACCGTTGAGCTGCACTTCTTCTCCTTATTCTACTCCAATTATTCTTAGGTTTGGTCTTTTTATTGTGTCCCATATTTCCTGAATGTTTTGTGATGAGAGTTTGTTGGACTTGCTGTTTTCTTTGATCAGTGCGTTTATTTTCTCTATGTTATCTTCAGAATCTGAGATTCTTTCTTCTATCTCTTGTATTCTGTTGGTTATGCTTGTTTCTGTAGTCTCTATTCGTTTACCTAGATTTTCCATGTCCAGCTGGCCCTCTGTTTGTGTTTTCTTCTTTGCCTCCATTTCAGTTTCAAGTCATGAACTGTATCCATTATCTGCTTGATTGTTTTTCCTTGGTTTCCTAGGGTATCATTCACTTATTTACTCAATTCCTCAAACTTTCTGTTATACTTCTCATCCATTTCTATAAGGGCATTTTTTACATGCTGTTTAAGGGTGTCAATCACTTTCATGAAGTCAATTTTTTCTACTTCTTCTTGATTAAGGTGTTCATGTCCTCCTGTTGTGAGGTCACTGGCTTCTGGTGGTTTCAAGTTGTTTTTCAGATTGTTGGGTGAATTCTTGCCTTGGCGTCTGCCCATCTCTTCCTCCCAATACTCCCCTTTGGATCTTCTTTTACAGGATCAGGTCTTCTTGCACACTGATGTACCTTCCCAGTGATGTCACTCCCCAGTGATGGTTCTCCTGATATCCAGATCGGATCTCCGTGCTGCTTGGTTAGCTCGCACACAAAGGGCCCACCCTGCTTGCTGCAGGCAGGCTATGGAGACAAAGGAGCTACCGCCCTCCCTTTTGCCCTCCCGATTTGGGTTCAGTCCCAGCGCCCTAGCAGGCTGAACTGGGAGGTGCTATGCCACCAAAGAGGGGAGGGAGGGAGTGAGGGAGAAAGACAGGGGGTGGGGGTTCTGGATGTAAGCTGGGTGGGATAGGAAGAGAGAGGAGGTATTGGACAGTATAGCCCCTGCAGGATGAACAGGAAGTGGAGGGGGATGAGGAACGTCTGAGTTCCCTGATCCCCGCTGCCCCCACACTCACTCACCTCAATGATATCTCTCCCGGTGCCCAGATAGAAACTCCGTGCTGCTTGGGTAGCTCGCACACAAAGGGCCCACCCTGCTTGCTGCAGGCAGGCTATGGAGACAAAGGAACTAACGCCCTCCCTTTTGCCCTCCCGATTCGGGTTCGGTCCCAGCGCCCTCCAAACACAGACTTTTTAAGGACTAAATGAGACATTTAATAGAAACTTCTCAGAAATATCCTATGTAGTTATATAGAATTTCAAATTTTCAATATCAGTTCAAAACAACAATTATTTTAGCTTACAATTGCATGCGTAGGAAATTTGGATCGATCTCCATTAGGCAGCTCTGCTAGTCTCACCTGGATTCATACATATGGGCTCACTTGTCTGGAGGGTAATGATGAGCTCATAGAAATAGTTCACCGTGATCCCAAGTCTGGTATTTCATAACAACACTGTGCCAACTCTTAACCTCAGGGATGGAAGTGGATTGACTGACATGCAAATGTCACAAGATCAGGAACAGAAAGTGAAAGTCAACCTCAGTGCACTCTTTGAACCATGTTTACTAAATCACATTCTTCCCATGAACCCAATAAAGTTTTATGACTGAACCAAGGTAATTAAGGTTTAAAGGAGTCATATTCGTGCAATAGATAGATACTGAGAACCTTATACTGATAATTTAATGGATTGAGTACATAGAAATATCCCTTCAATTTCAGTAACCATACTGCTAACTCACCTTGTTTGGTAGCTATATCTGTAGCCTTTTTAAATTTTACATACCAACCACAGTTTCCCCTTCCTCCTCTGTTCTCATTCCCTCCCCTATATTCCTACTACCCCACCCACAATCCACTTCTTCTCAGTTTTCATTCAAAAGGGGTAATTCCTCCCATCGTAGTCAAAAAGCAGGGAATATCAAGTTGAGGCAGGACCAAGCTCCTCCCCACTGCATCGTGGCTGGGCAAGGCTTCCCACCATTGAGAATAGGTTCCAAAGATCCAGCTCATGCATCAGGGACAGGTCCTGGTCCCACTGCTAGGAGCCCACAAACAGACAAAGCTACACAGCTCTCACCCAGATGCAGAACACCAAGGTCGGTTCAATGCAGGCTGTCTAACTGCCTTTTCGGAGTCCTGAGCTCCCACAAGCTCAGGTCAGTTGTCTCTGTGGGTTTCCCATAATGATGTTGAAGCTCCTTGCTCATATAATCCCTCCTTCTTCAGTAGCTGAACTATTGGAGTTTGGCACAGTGCTTGGTTGTGGATCTCTGCGTCTGTTTCCATCAGTTACTTGATGAAGTCTCTATGATGACTATTAGGGAAGTCACCAGTCTGATTACAGGGGAAGGCTGTTCAGGCATCAATTCCACTCTTGCTAGGGGTCTTAGCTGGGGTCATCCTTGTGTTTTTCTGGTAGCTTCCCTGGCACCATATTTGTCTCTAATTTCAAACTCCTTTAGTAAGGGTTTGTGATACCATACAAAACTTAAATTTTAAAAAGGGAATGATATAACCTTTATCATATGAAGCTGATCATGATTTAACACAAGACTTGATGATTCTAAGCTCATATTCCCTTTGAATACACTGAATAGTCTTTCACAAATGTTAAGAAGAATAATGATATATCATTTGCTGCCTTGTTTCCCCATCAAGGTTCACAGTCAAGCCTGGACAAAGTGATAGAAAATCTTGGAGCCATTAATTTGGGCAAGGTCAAGCATACACAGTGCTTTCTCTATATGGTACTTGAAACAGCAAAGAAACTGGCTCCTTCCTTGATGGACGTGAATAACTTAGTGCGCAGAAGTGACAATACCAGGCCCATGTAAGTGTTTCAAAGCTGTTCTGCCCCAATCACTGTCTTACTAATGACATGCCTCCTGTGTTAGATTTCTGAAGTGATCGTTAGAAGGCCACCTTAAAGGATAGGGCTAAAATCAAAGCACATGTGACCCATCATTGTTTTGGAGTCTAGAAGGAAGAAATCAAGATCTGAGCAAGGCTGTGCTGCATTGGAATCCACAGGATAGAATTCCTTATGTTCTTTCCCCACACACATTGTCATTCCAGGAGTACCTGGGCTTTGGGCTGCAATGCTCCACTCACTAAAGTCACTTTCACCTGAGCTTCTTTGTCCTCTGTGTCTTTTCCCCTTTTATTTGTTTTGATGATACTTATCTATAGATTTGGGATGCACAGAACAACTGAGATGAGCGTATATTGAAGTCTTAGACTTGATGTTCACAGATTTTTTTTTCTAAACATGATTATCTGCATAAAGGACTAGCAAGATGTCTTAACATCTAAAGGTGCTTGCTAACAGGTCTAATAACCTGAATTCAATCCATGGGGCCTATATGATGAGAAAGATAACCAACTCCCAATATTAGTATTCTGATTTTCATACATGAACATGTAACATCCATATAAACACACACACATATATATGCATGCAATTAAAAATTTTACTTTCCTATACAAGCTGAATGTAGGTTACCATTTAACTAGCCATGCCTTCACTACCTCTGCTAGCTTTTGCCCTGGTACCTATCCAACCAATGTTTTGCAGAGTAGCTTTCTAATTAATTAACTTTAAATAAGGATCATGTCTCTCTCCTGCTAACAAGATTTCAAAGCTCCCTGACATGCTTTCAAATCTTTCTGAACTTCTCAGCCCACTAAGCTGAGATTTTCATCTATTTCTCAGGCCTTATCTTGTTTCTTCCCTACAAAACTTCCAGACATTTTAAAAAATACTACATATTTTTTTTAAAACATAACCTGTCTTTTAGACATAATTTTAAAATCAGAGGTTCAGCCATTCTTTCAAATTAGTGTTCTCATATAGGTAGTCTAAAGAGGAAGAGGTTGATTTTATAGAATGAGCTAAGCTACAATAACAAAAGCAAATTTTTGTCATTTCAATGTTATTTCCCACATAAAATAGAAAAGGAAGGCACACATTAGAATTTGACAGATTGGTTCACATCAGTTTACTTCATGTTAATTATTTTGGTTAGATTTAGAGGAAAGGGAACCTCATTCAAATTCTCTATCTCTCTCTTTTGCTCACTCACTAGCTCACTCTCTTGCTCTTTGCTTCTCTCTCTCAGAAAGTCAGTTCACACTGTAATATTGGTTAGGTGACATGAAGCATTTATGGGAATGATTTAACATTGTTTCTAGTGTTAGAGCTAAATGCAGACGGTACTGATGCTATGCCATAGCTTTGCTGCAATTCTACTTGACCTTCATGAACTCAGGTCTCCAAGATTAGCTCCTCCCTGTCTAAAACTTCTCTTCCCTATGCAGATCAGTCTTTACACTAATGACTTACTTTGTTATCCAGATCAGCTCACAAGGTGCTTCGTCAGAGTCCTGGATAAATCACTTGAATAAAAGTCACCAATGCGCAAGATTCACATTTATTTTACTCATAGCACTCATGAGTATTTGAAACTAGTTAATTTATTCTACAGATTTGATATTTGATTCATCCTCTACCAATAATGAAAACCCTGCAAGAGTTAGGATCATCAGGAGCTGGCACACGGTGGGTTTTAAACCAATGTATGTTCAGTGAAATCTCTTCATGCAACAACTGAATCCTAATAAAAATATTTTGAACACATTTGACATTGTCCCATTTAAGTTGAACCTAATGCTGAGGAGAACTAAGAGCCAGCAGTGAGCATGTGACTTGAGGATGCTCAATTCTAAAGTGCTTTGTGAAATTTCCCTCCTGGAAATACCCTCTTCTCCTGTATACTACACTGCAACCTGGAGTACACTCCCATCCAGAAGCTACTGCAACTTTTGTTCTACAGTGAGCTAAAAGTTAGCCCAAATCTTGACAGAAATGAGAATCTAGTGGTGAAATAGTTTGCTTAGCTCATGGATGAGTGGACCAGAGTTGAAGAAGAATGTGTAGCTCCAGCTCCAGAGCTCATCCCAAACTGACTCCTGAAACTCCCCACACCATTGCAGGTGTCTTCGGGCATCACACTCAGTCATGTTTGCTATCTTCCTTTTACATTGCTGTGAATCTTTGCCCTTGACATTATCTTTTGTTCAACACAATGCCTAAGGACTGCAAGATACCAAATTCTATGATCCTGAACTTTGGCTTTTCTGCTTGCTACATATGTTTTGGGAAGTTTGCTTGTTTGTAAAACTCTTTTCCTTTTACATAAAACAAGACTGATCATATTGAAGCTCCCTAACTGAAAGATCGTATTTGAACTCTCTCACTGAGTCATGGGCAAATAAAAACTGCAAATGTTGCCTGGAGCATTTTTACTAGCTCTTAGGCACTAAATCTGAGCCCCCATCACACTAACGTGCTAGTCTATAGTGCAAGTTGCTTATTAGCCCTGCTCACTAGGTGGGGAAGCACAAAAAGTGAAGAACAATTAATCAACAGTTAATGCACACAGTGCTGGTAGGAACTCAGACAGTCTGGCTACAGAGCACACAGTCTTAGTGATTCTACTGTCTGACTCTTGGGGAAATTCTTGGGAAAATAAATAAAATTATTCATAACCTATGTGACTAAGAGCTGCTCTTTCCTCTTGTTCCCAATAGTAATCAAGAGTTGTTCAAACTCACCTCCCTGGATGTTACACATGCTGCGTTGGTGAATAGCTTCTGGCATTATGGTGGCAATGAGAAAAGTCAGAAGTTCATTGAGCGCTGTATCCACAACTTCCCCAGCTCCTGTATTATGGGGCCTGAGGGGATTCCCGTGTCCTGGGGCCTGATGGACCACACTGGAGAATTGAGAATGGCAGGCACCTTGCCTCAGTACCGGAACCAGGGTCTCGTTTACCATGTTGTCTTCGACCAGATTCAGTCTCTAAATGATCTTGGCTTCCCTTTGTATTCACATGTGGATAAAGCTAATTTCACCATGCAGAGAGTGGTTGCCAAGCTGGCTTATGTCCCCATGCCCTGTACTTGGAACCAGTGGAATTATGAGCCTCTATGAATATGCAAAGAGTGTTGAGGGTACAGTCCTTGTAGATGGAGAAACAGCTGAGTGTATAGAGAGAAGTAATAAATTGTTATTAGGTAGACGTGTGTTTCTAGAAAGCAGGGGTATATCATGAACCGCATACACTGTTTCTTTGCCCTCACATTGCTCATGCACTTAATTCCATTTCCTTGTCATGCAGAAGGTCACTGTCTCCTGCTCCAACTCTGTCACAAGCATCACATTCTCAAGATGCCTCTAACACAGTGGTTCTCAAACTTCCTAATTCTGATACCCTTTAATACAGTTCCTCATGTTGTGGTGAACCCTAACCATAAAATTATTTTTATTCCTACTTTATAACTGTAATTTTGCTACTGTTATGAATTATAAAATATACATCTGAGTTTTCTGATGGTCTTAGGCAACTTTTGTGAAAGGGGCATTTGACGCCCCCAATGGTTTTGCAATCTGAAGTTTAAGAACACTGCTCTAACACATTTAACTGAATCATTTTCTTTTCTACTTTACTTTTACAGCTTCTGATCCATGCCCATTACAAGGAGATTTGTTTTGTGACCTGCTGCACCACACACATTCATACCGCCTCTGGATTTCTGTTGTTTTTCTTTTATTGACTGGAAGAGTAGCTTGTCATCTATAAATACCTACTTAAAATCATTCTCTTTTAGGTCACTTCCTAGCTGTTATATTGTTCTTATGTAAAAACTACTACACACGCATGCACAGATGCACAATGTGTGTGGTGAAATTGTAGAATTATTAAGAAATAAACTAGGGATCAGCCGGTACAGATACCTGCAGCCGTGCCTTTTTACCTGAGGTCAATATCTAGGACCCACATTGTGGAAGAAGAAAACCAATTGCATCAAGTTGTCCTCTGGCCTCCACGGGTGTGCCATGACATGTATACTCACAAATAAATAAATGAAATTTTAAGAAAGGACTAATTTTCTGTAATTTATAATGACTTTTCACCATTAGTTCCCACACCAGGAAAGAAAAGTTAGCATTGTTCTAAAGGTTGAGCTTTGTTACTTCACTTTAATGTTCATATTTAATAAAACTATTTTTTGGTTGAATTGCCATTTTTACTATGTTGATACTCCCAATCCAAGAGCAAGGGAGGTCCATCCATTTTTTGGTATCCTCTTCAATTTCTTTCTTCAATGCCTTATAGTTCTTGTTAAATAGATCTTTCACTTCCTTGGTTACATTTACCCCAAGATATTTTATGCTGTTGTGGCTATCGTGAATGGTGAAGCTTCTCTGATTTCCCTCTCTGCTTCCATATCCTTTGTGTATAAGAGGGCGACTGATTTTTTGGAGTTGATCTAGTATCCTGCCACATTACTAAAGGTGTTTATCAGCTGTAAACGTTCTTTGGTGGAGTTTTGGGGGTCGCTTATGTACACTATCATATCATCTGCAAATAACGAAAGTTTCGCTTCTTCCTTTCCAATTCGAATCCCCTTGATCCCATTATGTTATCTTATTGCTATTGCTAGAACTTCAAGCACTATATTGAAGAGGTATGGCGAGAGTGGACAACCTTGTCGTGTTCCTGAGTTTAGCGGGATGGCTTTGAGTTTCTCTCCATTTAATTTGATGTTAGCTGTCGGCTTGCTGTATATAGCTTTTATTATATTGAGGTATGACCCTTGTATCCCTAATCTCTCCAAGACTTTTAACATAAATGGATGTTGAATTTTGTCAAATGCTTTTTCAGCATCTAATGAAATGATCATATGGCTTTTTTTCTTTCAGTTTATTTATATGATGGATTACATTGATAGATTTTTGTATGTTGAACCAGCCCTGCATCTCAGGAATAAAGCCCACTTGATCATAATCGATAATTTTTCAGATGTGTTCTTGGATTCGGTTTGCCAGTATTTAGTTGAGGATTTTTGCGTCGATATTCATGAGTGAGATTGGCCTGTAATTCTCTTTCCTGGTTGAGTCTTTGTGTGGTTTTGGTATCAGAGTAACTGTAGCTTCATAAAAGGAATTTGGTAATGACCCTTCTGTTTCTATATTGTGGAATACATTAAGGAGTATAGGTATTAGGTCTTCTTGGAAGTTCTGGTAGAATTCCGCATTGAAACCATCTGGTCCTGGGCTTTTTTTGGTAGGGAGGTTTTTGATAACAGCTTCTAATTCTTTGCAACCAACAGGTCTGTTTAGATTGTTCACCTGGTCCTGGTTTAACTTTGGTATATGGTATTTATCTAAAAAATTGTGCATTTCTTTTACATTTTCCAGTTTTGTGTTATACAGGCTTTTGTAAAAAGATCTAATGATTCTCTGAATTTCCTCTGTGTCTGTGGTTATGTCCCCCTTTTCATTTCTGATCTTATTAATTTGCGTATTCTCTCTCTACCGTTTGATTAGTTTGGATAAGGGTTTATCAATCTTGTTGATTTTCTCCAGGAACCAGCTTTTTGTTTCATTGATTCTTTGGATTATTTTCTGTGTTTCTATTTTGTTGATTTCTGCCCTCAGTTTGATTATTTCCAGTCTTCTACTCCTCCTATGTGAATCTGCTTCTTTTTTATTCTAGAGCTTTCAGGTCGGTCTTTGTGTGGTTTTGGTATCACGGTAACTGTAGCTTCATAAAAGGAATTTGGCAATGACTCTTCTGTTTCTCTATTGTGAAATACATTAAGGAGTATAGGTATTAGTTCTTCTTGGAAATTCTGGTAGAATTTTGCATTGAAACCATCTGGTCCTGGGCTTTTTTTCGAAGGGAGATTTTTGTTATCCATTTCTAATTCTTCGCGACTAACAGGTCTATTTAGATCATTCACCTTGTCTTGGTTTAGCTTTGGTATATGGTACTTATTTTAAAAAATGTCCATTTCTTTTGTATTTTCCAGTTTTTTGGCATACAGGCTTTTGTAATAAGATCTAATTATTCTCTGAATTTCCTCTGTGTCTGTGGTTATGTCCCCCTTTTCATTTCTGTTCTTATTTATTTGCGTGTTCTCTCTCTGTCGTTTAATTAGTTTGGATAGGGGTTTGTCGATCTTGTTGATTTTCTCCAAGAACCAACTTTTTGTTTCATTGATTCTTTGAACTGTTTTCTGTGTTTCTGTTTTGTTGAATTCTGCCCTCAGTTTTATTATTTCCAGTCTTCTACTTCTCCTGGTCACGTCTGCTTTTTTTTTTCTAGAGCTTTCAGGTGTGTTGTGAAGTCCCCAATGTATGCATTCTCCATGAGTAAAATAATTTTTAAAAATTCTTAACAATCCAAAAAATGAGAAAAGGCCAAGTGTGCTTTTTTCCCTAGAATTCCTTTCCCAAGCAATTTGGAATTTACATGCTCTCTTTAGTAACTGGTACTCTGTAGGGGCTCAGCTTGGCATGACTGTAGGCATGCTGAGTTAGTTATAAATGTAATGAGTTTCTCAAGTAACATGACCTATTCTCCTTACCTAGTTTTCTAGTATAGTAAAAGCAGACAACATTACTGAGTAACATGTGGCACGAAAAGTCAATTGCTGAGAAAGTTATGTCTACTAAAGTTGCCTCAAGCTCTGACCTTGAGTAAGCATGAACACCTGGGAAATTGATCTTGTGTATTTGCCTCTAGGGGAAACCAAATATTCATCTCCAGGGCAATG